TGCATGGTTATATGGCTTGACGCTATAGCTGCTGGAATTTCTCAAGTGATTTGAGTAACGCTGTCTCTTCAGTTTCTGCAATACTGAAGTATTCTGTACAAAAGTTTTCATCGTCAATGTTAAGCATATATATTTTAATCGCTGCATGCCCAGTAATTAGGTGGCTTCATAGGTCAGCTGAAACTAGTGATGAAAATTACAGCTAGTTGAGTAACGTATAATTATTGCATTTGTCAGAAATGCTTAAAAACAATACCTACGTGCGTATTCGACTAAAAATGAAATGTATTTGGAATTGCTGCCACCATACAAGTCATAGTTAATTCTCTTTCAAGTCCAGTTTCTCTGTTTATTCTGTGTTTGAACATCCACGTCTTTCCAAATTCCTAGGAGTCTCTGATGACAGTGCACCAGGAAAGAGAGGCTCAGGAGAGGAACCTGAGAAGATGGTGGAGATGGGGAGAAAATGAAATTCAGAGGACACCTGCTTGCATTTCAAAACATAAAATTTTGAGGTTTCAGAGAAAATATTTTCTCTTTCAGGTCGTCATATGTCATAGAAAAAAATAAATAGAGCATGAAAGGCAGATGTCAAAAATTAAACAAAGCCTCAGTTTTCTGCAAAAAGACTGCTTTAATAGGAATATTTTCATCAAGATGTTAAAAGCATAAGTCCCCCTGTTCATTGATCATCATGTTCTGCTCTGGATTGTAAAAATGTGCATGGATTGTTAGATATTTTCTGAAGACACAAGTCAGGTTTCAGCAAAAGTTTGTCTCCATGCAATGTATCAGTCCCTTGAACTATCAGCAACTGGCAGTGCCTGGGATCTACTTCCAGCTTTTAATTTTCCATTTGGCTAATCTCTCAATTAGGTAATAAGAAGCCATTTATACTTCATTAACAAGATATTACTGTCAATATTAATATATAGTTGATCCCCAAATTCACCATTAATTTCTGCTACCAAGGAAAGTATACCTTATCTTTTTTCTTTTTTTTTTTAACATTTGTTTCAATTGAGAGGTATTTTCATAATGTTCTTTACATTTTCTTATGCTAATGACATTTTTGCAATTGTCTGTAATGCGAAATATTTAATTATCAATCATGACAATACTGCTATGCATTTAGATAGAATATTTCACACCTAAATGTATTAACTCTATTGTCAAACAGCCAGCAAAAAAACATGACTGGTTTCTCTTAGCTACTGTTGCTTTGGAAACCAGTTACATGTCTTGATTTGTAAATGATTATTCTTTCAAAAAAAGAGACAGAGAAGAATCAGGGTTTTTTTTGGTGTTTTTTGTTTTTTGTTTTTTGTTTTTTGTTTTTTGTTATTTTTGTTTTCTCCTTTCTCTATTACAATTAATATGCAATGTCAAAGAGCTCTTTTTCAAATTGGTGGGCTAAAGCTTCTGAACTATATGAGTCAGCCTTCTGAAAGCTAATTAACTCATAATTCATTTTAGAGCAGGCATTTCTCAGCAGAAACTTATAATCACAAATGAAGGACGGTGTAAAAACTAATGAAGTTTCATTCCCAGTTCTTTACCAGCCTTCTTCTGTGACCTCAGCAAATTTCAGGGTAAATACTGTTTATCTGTTTTCCTGTTTCTGGTTTACTGGGAGAGGAATTACTTCTAGCAATGACTACCTGCACATAATAGTTACTTTAAAGTGCTGCTTTCTGGACAGTATTCTTCAAAGAAGTTTCTTGTTGCCTTTGAATCAGTCTCCAGAGTTTTCCCCAACGTAACCAGTTTAGAAGGGCTTACTTTTGCTTAAGCTTCTGTAAATGAGAAGGTGGAAATGACAAAGAAGTCATCATCTTTCAGATTTCATGAAATACAGTCCCTGCTCTAGAATCTTAAAGCATTGTGTTTGTGATAATTTAATTCATAGATTTTAAATTGCATTATTTGTTTGTTTTAAGATGTATCTGTCTAATTAATTATAGTGCAGAGGAATTTATCAGCTAGGTCCACATAATTTTTAGAAGTAGTTCTTGTGAAACATAAGATGTAGAACATCATGGATGTACACATCCATCCCACAGTTTATCTTTTAAATATACTGTTAGGAACACATCTTTTCTAGCTTCAGAAATTGCCTAATTAGCTCCGAAAAACTGTTAGGATGCTTTGTCTTCTCTAGTGTACTCAAAAGTACTGAGTTATTTTCACACTGGAAGGCAGCAGGGAATCTGATTTTAGTTCTAGCTTCACCATGATGCCGGATTTCTGGCATTAACCTGAAGAATTCTGTTTTCTTGGAATTTTTGTCAGGGATTGAAATGCTTTTGAAAGTTATTAGGCTGACAACTGATGGAGGTTGCTATCCTGTATTTATCTGTTAGTCACATTTCACACTTATATCTTTGGAATCTATTCCAGCCAGATGTAGAAGAACCATTCTTAGAAAGAGAGCAGGCTTTCATGATTTCATTCTGAGAAGCCTTTGTGCAGTTTGACTCCTCAATGCCAAAACCATCTACCAAAATGGCACTCAAGTCATTACACTAATTTTCTTCTCAGTCTTGACTGGTACCAGCAGAGCTAGAAAAAAAGTTCACTAAAATATGAAATTTTCTCCTTCCTCCTCTCCTCTCCTCTCCTCTCCTCTCCTCTCCTCTCCTCTCCTCTCCTCTCCTCTCCTCTCCTCTCCTCTCCTCTCCTCTCCTCTCCTCTCCTCTCCTCTCCTCTCCTCTCCTCTCCTCTCCTCTCCTCTCCTCTCCTCTCCTCTCCTCTCCTCTCCTCTCCTCTCCTCTCCTCTCCTCTCCTCTCCTCTCCTCTCCTCTCCTCTCCCTCTCCTTCCCCTCCCCTCCCCTGCCCTCCCCTCCCCTCCCTTCCCCTCCCCTCCCCTCCCCTCTTCTTTTTCTTGGAGTTAAAAGATAATGGTCAGTTGTGCCAGAGAATAGCATCCCAAAGTTAACTAAAGTAAGATGCTGCAAATCCATGCTGTCACTCTTCATACCTCATTACAGTGTCTAAGGTAGAGTACAGCAGACTTGTAACTCATTCCACTATGCCTGCAAGCTCTGTAAGAGCACCACTCCCTGACATTCTCCTAAATCCCCAAGTCTCTAGTTCTCTTACCAGGAAACGTCTACATAACAGAAAAGTTGCGTGGATAATGCTTATCTTGAGAGTACTTTCCTTGTTCCAGCCCCCAAAAAATCCTCATTAGAGGAACGCATTGATACTTTTTGGATGTTCTAGAGCAAAATATTTTAATTTCTCAGAGTATTGTCCAGAATATCGACACTAATTTGTACATTTGTACATTTTACAGGATTGTTATATTTTAATTTTACTAAGCTATACTGAATATCTAGTCCAAGCCAGATTAAATTTAAAGCAAACAAAAATAATCATTTATAAAATGCCCAGTAAACCCTATCATTAACTGTTCAATAAAATTCTGCTGCCAAAAACTAAAGAAAACCATCAGTTGACCCTAGACTTATGTTTGAGTCATTTAGCCAATATGCTGTGTACACTGATGGTGGTCTAATCCGACACAGTCAGCAGTGCACACTTTGCACATACTGTATATGTCTAAAACCAGGTTGTATTCATGGCAGATGAGAGAGTACTGATAGAGTAGGGAAGTGTGAATGCATTCCTGCTTAATCCTGTGCAAAGTGGGTGGGGAAGGACTGGCTCTGGGGTTTTCATTGACATTTCTACCCCCCTTCCTGAGTACTGATCCTGCAGTTCTTCAAGACAGAGGCTTATCCTCATAGATTTCTTTCCCATGTGTTGAAATATTAATACTTTCTATGGCCATTCTCTCTGTCGGAGGAATATATATTTTGTTTGTCATGGCCTGTCTAAATTACTAGCATATCTTTCACGCAGTGAAATAAAATGCCTTTTTTTCCACTGGCAATATGTAGAATTCGTTCTGAAGCCTCTTTAGAGTGGGGCATCTTATTTTTACTGCAAAGATGGGATTAGAGCTAGCTAGATACCAGCTCTTGCTTGGAAATCAAAGGTTTGGGAATCAAGAGATCTAATTGGGAAATGGCTGATCCTCAAACCTTGTCCTTAGAGAGTGTCCTAAGAGGTGATACTACTTCATTTGCATATGTGTCCTCCCTCCCCAGCAAATAGCCACAGTTCTCTGCTAATTAGCCTCAACTCTCTTAAGAACCCCTTTTGACTTGCTGCAAGATACATGCAACCAAGGTTATGAACCAATTCTTCAAAAATATGGCTATTAGAATGCAGCATGTGACAAGCATGAAGGCAACAGCTTAAAATTGTAACAAATGTAATTTTTATTCCTATCTCATATCATAATTCCTCCTTAATTTCTGATTAGGATTTACTTCTACATATTTCACAGAAGGCATTTTATCTTAGTCTCTGAACTACAGACTCCCCAGGTCTCCAGAGGAACATGCATTAAAGGATGGAACTAGATGTTCTTGTGAAAGCTGAAATCTGCAGTTTTTTAAAGAATGCCTTTCCATAAATACACCTCTCAGTCTATTGTGAATCACATCTATCAGTCTATCCATTCTGCAATTACTGCATAGGAACTATACATTCCAAATACATTAGAGACTTATTCAACAGCATAGCAGAACAGAGAGTATTAAGTTATTCTTTTATTAGCTGCAGGAATTTTGAAAGGAAATTAAAAATTACCTTTAGCTTAATACTTCCAGTGAAAGTAACAAGAATACATTGACCTCATCCACACTTCAGGGTTCTTCTCACTTCAGAGAGCTTTGAAGATTTGTTTGTGTGAGTAAATTGTCTCTTTTTCATTTCTCTGCCAATGATTGACATATATTGTTCCTGGTCTAAATTCTGACTTCCTCAGAAGAAAGGTAATGGTTGTTTGGAAAGTATTTAGCACTACTATTTATGCTTGCTGCTACAATAAAAAGCATGCCTGGATTTATTTAATCAGGTAAAGCAAAAAAAAAAAAAAAAGCAAAAAAAAAAACCAACACAAAATGATTCTACATACTCACATTGAGGGAGCTGTACAGCAACATATCTTTCCTGTTAAAAGAAAAAGTGTTGCTCCAGAAGTATTTTCATCCAATGACAGGGAATGAAGTGTGCATCTGAAAGTGTGCCTTTCAATCTATGACTGACCAGAAGTATGGTTAGCAAAGGATGCTCAGTGACACAGAATCTTAAGAGAAAAGCCTAAACGCTGAGAAGAAGAAACAGACAATCTTTCATTTCCAGCATATTTTGGAGCTTATAAGAAATCCAATCAGTTATATTTTGCCTGTTAATGATGCACCAAGGCCATTTGATTGTATCAGCTGCCTAAAAGCATTCTGTCTCCCCAGCACAACACAAATATTTCAGTACTATTCCTAAAATTTAAGAGACATAACAGTTTCACTTAAAATTTTAACTTTTCACATATATTTTGATTATTTCTAACTAGAACTGAAACTAAAGTTACACCTGGGCAAAGAGCTGTGATCCCTGTCAAGACCCCAGTCAAGAAATTGTGTACTTATTTAATGCCTAAAATCAATTGCTGTCTCACGAGATCGCTATCAGAGCTACAGGCTATGCTTCATATATTGCTGAGAAAGCTTTCTGTTTTTATTTGCAATTCTTTCTCAAAGAAAAAAGAATTTGAATTGTAAAAAAAAAAACATAAATAGTGAGCGAGCAAACAAATGAAATGATTACTAATAATTTTCATATCTGATGGGATGTATGTTTTTGTTTCTGAAGGATAGACAGTGAGCTTCAACTGCTGGTGAATGGAGGTCAAAACAATATGAAGGACTGAGATCAGAAGCTTAGAAATCTCTGGAATTTCTCATGAGATGATTTTTTAATGACAGAAATATAATTTCCTGATATTTAATGGTTCACTTTTGTTACGGGAGCTCCTAATTCCTGCTTTACCTCTTGATTCTGTAGAAACACATTTTGTGTCTGTTAGACTGCAAAGATTGCTTCTATTGTACAGCTTTAACCAACAATTTATCTTAACAGAGTTTTGTTTATGGCGCTGAATTTTCCTCAGATTTAATTCAGTTTGGAGCTCTGAAATACGTTTTGTATCACCTTTGTACAGTTTATCTAAGTCAGTTTGATAGTTTATCAACAATTAGAAAACAGAAGGCCATCGGCCCATATTAAACAAGTGAGTGATGCAAGAATGAAGCACTGTCACCATAGCAACTCAGCTTGCACATAGGATGCTGTATTTAACCTTGGGGAGCTCTTAAAACTCTTCATTCCTGAAATAGCTATGAACTATGTTGTAATGGGGATGTGTCCTTAGTGCTGTAACAGTAGATTTGTCTCAGAAATGTGCAAATACTTTGGCCCAATATAACTTCTAAGAAGCCAATAGAGTAGGAGCATTCAAGCTGATATGGCTGATGGAAATCATGACTTGCTGTTATAAATGTGCAAAACTGTTTGCTCTTTTTGGAAGCAGGAGGAAGATATCAATATATATTACTGCACTAAGGCAGAAAGCCGGAAATTTCCAGGAATTACTATTAGATTTTTAATCTATTTTCTTTATGTTATTCCACATAAACCTGTGGGTTATATCCTTCTATCTGCATGGTTACTGTGAGCTTTGTCTGGGAAAGATCAACAAATGTACTTGCTTTTGTGTTTGTCTCTGCAGGTTTGAAATTTCCAGCTCTTAGTAAACTAGCCATGTGTATGATATTAATTAGAAATGTGGATCTATATGCCCTAAGGTAAGCGAGGAGTCAAGCGAATCAGCCTAGCTGCAGGGTCATTCTACCAGGCAAAAAAAAACAACTCTAGGCAGCCAATTTTTTGCTGAAGCCAAAATTTCAAGTGTCATTTATAAGAACCATAGGAGTTTTAGTGGTGTTAGATGATAAGATCAGAACTAATTCTTAGAAGAAATAACTAGTGCTATGTTTCTGCCTCTCCTCACAAGTGGGACTACTGCCTCACCATTTCCCACGTAGCTTAAGATTTTCTGGTATGATAAAAGGCTGGATTCACTGGAGGCCTTGTTACCTAACTGCCCTTCAAGGTGCCCAAATCATATTAAGGTTTTCCCAAAACTCTTATGAGTTTCTTTATAGTGTACCTCGATGGTAATGGAAAATTCCTACTTTTCCAAAGGACAAATTGATGCTCAGCCTTCCGGCCAGTGTCTCAAAACTAGCTCTGGCAAGACTTCCAATTGAGGCCTTCCCATCTGTATCTTACCTGGAGAACAGAAGTACTGATATCTTTACATACAACATACAACAATCTTCTGGGGAGGAGCATTTGTCTGCAGTAAGGAAATGTGAAATTCTGTCAGTAGAAGAAATGTATTTAGGAACACTTAAATCCCAGTGGATTTAGAAAACTCTGTTTATCTGTTTTAGGTAATGATTAGTCAACTTTACCAATAAGTGAGAACACAATGGTGTTCATAATAGATGCAAATGAGAAAAAGAAGAAGCACTTTTATAGTGTTATAGCTGACATGGTGTGGATTTCAACCTTGTAACTAAGAGAACTGTACACAGAGAGATGTGCTAAATGTTGTTTCACCACACCCTGATATTTGCACTGGTATTCAGGAACATGTGCTAGTTTTATGTTTTAGAAACCTGTCTGAACAGATTGTTTAAAACTCTCCATTATATTTAGATTCACAATCAGAAAACGATGTAAAAAAGGAAAAGTGCTGTAAAGCAATCTCCTAAATAGAAAATCAAGAAATGAAAATACTTCTTAAATTTCTGCCAAATATCAAAATCAAGTTATAAGAGAATAGAAAGTATTTTGGCCAGTCCATGAGTTTTGTAAAACAGTAAGCACAAAAATTTTCAGTTCATTATATGACAGGTTCTGTACGTAGTGAAGTCAGAAGCCTGTGGTGCCCCACCACGCTAGGGATGAAAAAAAATCCGTATTTCAGGAGTGATAAGTGTTGAAAAAATTCAGTTTCAAGACAAATACATTTTGGCCCAGCTCTTTGGTAAGGTATAATCACGTTATCTCCTGTGTTCTCTGCTCCAGTAATAAACTTCTCAGCAGATAATTAGAAGAGACTCTTGTAATGGGGCCAAAGACACCCATCTGCCAGTCTGACCTTCCTGCCAGGACATGGGCTTCTTGTCTAATCCAAAACCTTAGGCACAGTGGAAAGACTGTTGGGGCATATCCAGTCCCTGACTGTGACTCATACTATTCATGTTACTCATCCATGTGGGCACTAATGAAATGACTACAAGGTTCTGGGAACACAGGGGACGGAGTCCAGGTCACAAGTAATACTCGTCAATACTCCCAGTTGACTGTAGTGGCCTGTGCTGGGTCATATGAGTCACAAAGATGAATGTAGATTTTCACTAATAGGGTTGGCACTGGGCTTCAGCTTCCTTAAAAATAACATGCTGCTTTTTAAAGGTGGAATGGTGGGATGAGGGAGATTGCAGGAGAAGTTGTCTGATACCAGTGCTCAAATTCTGGGAGAAAGCCTTAGATCTGGAGTTAAAAAGGACATGTATTCAGTCTCCAGAGGAGTCAGTTATAGTTTTAAATGCTGTTGAAATGTTATAACTTATGCAGAGTATCGCAGAGACAGGCAAAATATATAATCTAATCCTCAGACTCATCTCCCGATTTTTTTTCAGCAGAATGACTACAGATTAAACCATGACTTCAGGATATTTAAAATTACTATTTTAAGAAGTGAAAACTGCTTGTAAAAGTCACTGTTCAAATTCAAGAAAGAATGTGTAGAATAAAAAAAAAAAAAAGTTTTCTAGTAAATTCATATAATCACAGAATGATTGAGGTTAAATGAAGCTTCAGAAGGACTCCATCCAATCCCCCTGTTCAGACGAGGTTGGTTTGAGCAGGTTACTCAGGGCTGTGTCCATTCAGGATTTAAGTGTCCTCAGGATGAAAACTGCACAAAGCTTCCAGAAAAATTATTATAATTTTAGACCATTCACAAAGCAATTTTTTTTTTTTTTTAATGTTTAAATGGAATTTCCTATATTTCATTTTATGCACACTGCCTCTCTAACAGTCACTGTGTAGCAATGAGAAGAGTCTGGCTCCATCTCTTCCATCGTGTAATTTTTCTGGAAAGGTATATGTTGGGAAAAGGAGTTCACAGGCTTTAATGTTTAGATTGACATCACTGCTCTGCAAAAGAGCTCAGAACTACCACAGGCACCAGGGTGGTTTGCCCACACCTGAGAAAAGTAAGTGCTGAGCCCTGCCCTCTGCGTGTCACTGTTATGAGTGAGTGCCAAGAATAACTTTCAGTGATTAATGTTAAGCTGGAGTGGCACCTCACATGGAGACTCATTTCTTCTGAGTATTATTATTAATCATCGAATAATGAAATTAAATTAAAACATTTTAAAAATCTGCAGACAATATGAAGGGAGGAGCTGCACCTACTTTGGTGACAAGCTCAGAATTAGAAGTCAAATGAGTCTGAAAAGTCAGATATTATCTGAAATTAAAAGATGAAATTCGACAAATACAAATGCAAACAGGCAAATGTAACATGAGTTAAAGATATGGAGTTTGTAGTGAATCACAAACTGGCTGTGAGTAACAACACTATATTTATTTAAAAAAAAAAAAACACTTCTTAGTCTAAGACATTTTTATAGGAATACTGTATGCAAGCCTTGAAAAGTAATTATTCTGCTCTACTTGGAAGCCAAATGGATCTCAGACCGGTGCGTCCACTGAATTTTAAAAAAGATGATAACTTGGTGAAGATCCAGAGGAGGGTAAAAAGAATGCTAATGGGTTTAGAAAATGCAATCCATAAAGAAAGGTATTTCTGTTCCTTTAGGCTAGAAAAAAAAAAAAAAGATGAAAAGGGATAAATCTTCTAGTATGTAAAACAGACAATTATAGAAAGAATGATGATCAGTTTTTCAAGAGCAACGAGGAAGGGCAAGAAGAAATCAGTACAATTTAGAGCAGAGAATATTTACTATAAGCCTTTTAAGAAGGAATATTCTCATTGCTGAAATACTGGATTTAGCTCTCAAGAATACAGCTGAATACCTTTTATTGAGTATGTTTAATGCCAGTTCCAATACCTGTTAAGGACAGTGCAGGGCCATGGCAGGGTAGCTTCCTGCAGTCCTTTCAAGATTCTTATATCTGTGTGTTTAGGACAAGTGATGTCTTCAATGAAATAAGTGCATCCTCTTTCTCACTTAGACAAATACACGTTCTGGTTTCTGGTTCTGATCCAGAATAAATGAGCATCCCTGAAGAGAGAAAAGTTCACATTCACCAGCCTCCAAGAAGATCTATAAGCAGGAAGAAAAGAAATATTTCTTAATGTATAATTGCAGTTTATAAAGCCTGCTAATGTTACACCGAGGTTAGTCACAGAGGGTGCCTGACCAGACTTCTGGCAGCAAATGGAAAACTTTGAGTGATCTCCCCCCTCTGATGTAATCCTTTCTTTCTGAATCTTCTTAAATAACTCTTGCTAGAGATGTTTTCTCTCTGGGCACTCAAAATACTTCTTTTGGAATATGAGAGCATACCAAGCCTCAGATATTCTCAAGTGTCCTGGAAAAATACAATCTAAATTCTTCTTACAGTCCCCAAATCATTATCACCATTAGCTAAAAGGTAGAGTTTATGGAAGATGAATGGCATAAAAGTTCTGTAGGTATAGAAAAGGCATCAAAATAGTGATCTGGATCTAGCAACTTTTTTAAAAATGCAAGAAACACAACTCTAATTTACCAGTCTGTAAGATAAACAAGAATTTATTGAATTGATGCATTCAATCTCCATTAGTAAAGCTTAATAAAACAGCAAAGTTCATATGAAGACAGTTGCTGGTGCTGCTGTTCTTCCTCTAATTGCTGTTTGCATTCTATTCCTTGTAAGTCTGTACATTCTTTAAAAACAAACACCAAAAAATTACCACCAAACCCCTCTGCCATATATAAGAGGAAGTTACAGTCCCAAATCAGCTACAAACATGCAAACATAAGAAAATCTACAGGGTTTTCATAGCCAGAAGATCTGAAATAAATTTTGACGGAACTGGAATGACACACACACCGCCAAAGTTTCAGCTCAGTCACCACCATTATCTGTGCATTTTTGCCAGCAGTGAACAAAAGCCTGCATGCCATGCTCATAGCAATCTGCACCAGTGGAGATGACCCACTGTCCCTGTCACTGCTGTCAGAACTCACCACCTGCTGCCTCACTATGCTCACATTCACTGTTTGGTCTCCATAAACATTCAGAAAGCATCAATGAATGTCAGTGGATGTCATTCTTCCTGGAGAATGGAGGAAATTCAGTGACGCATCTTTGCACCTTACATGCTTCTGTGTCAGACCCCATTTTGTCAGACTGCCCCTCTGCTGCCATCTGTCTCACAGCAACAACAAATAATGGGACACTGGCAGGAAGGTTCAACCTCTACTGCCATACCACCAACATCCTCCTCTGATGTCCCTGGCCTACAGAATATAATGAGAGGCATTATTTTTGGAGCAGTCCTTGCAAACAATCTGAAACGAATCTTTTTCCACAGGGATGAATTTATCACCTTCACAAATGGAAAGTTTGATTCAGCAGTAAGGTGTCACAGGGTCAAAATAAAATTTACGGTAAGGCAAAATACACTCTCGCTGCCTGATAAAACCTGTGCTAAAAGTGCTAATGTTCCTTCAAACTCAATTCATTCCAATAATTACATAGTCATTAAAGCAGAAGTCTAAAGGCAAAAAATACCTTCATGGACGAGTTCTTGTGAGTGGTTATTTAATCTAATTTTCAGTGCATCTAGATGAAGGGCTTCTCACTGAAGTTAGGACAATCTATCATCAGACTTTTGCAGTCATCCCATTTAATTACTTCTATATCAGGATCATTTTTATTCCCAGATCTATATGTAAGTGTAGTTTAGAAGGAGAATTTAGATTCTCACTGTATCACTCTCATCATTTTGTGACTGGCTTCACACTGCATTTTCCTCACATTATCCAGCACTAAATACACAGCTATTAACTTTGATGAAGCTGTGTCAGTACTATGAAGGCTGCTGCCACACTCAGATTCAAGCCTGCAAGCTCTATCTTATTGCCAGCATGAGCATCTCAGGACAAAACACTGATCAGAAAAACCCCTTGCTATTGTTTAACTGGGTAATTCAAGACACATATAAGCTGTATTGCTTATTTAACCCACACAGTGGAGGAATGAGTAGCCTTTCTTGCTGCACATGTCCGCTGCCCAATACTCCAACAGTGAGAGCAGGAGGTGTTCACCATGTCATGGTACAAGCTTATATTGGTGTATATAATCAATGGATATCAAGATGTTACAATCACAAAATAAACAAGAGAAGTTTATTTCTTCTTGAAAATAAGAAAAGAAAATAAGAAAAAGTTAGGCGAAGTGGACTATGATAACAAGAGAGAATAAATGGAAGGCTTACCCTTATGCTGGGCTCACCTACAAAACACCAGAAGGAGGGATCTCCAGATGAGATCCTTCCCCACTGGTAGCCTGCTCTTCAATGGGTCTAGGAGGAGTGCAGCCTGGCTCCACCCCTTCTGGCAGCACAGATGAATTGCCTTCACCTGTGCTCCTCTGGCTGACTCACAGCTCGCCTCAGGTGATCAATCAGAGGTTCAGACTTTGACTCAGTAGTTTCCATACATGGTGAAATAGTTCTTCCGGGCACACGAGAACTAACAACTGATTAGATTAAAAAAGAAAAAAGAAGAGAAAGCTAATGGTTCATGCATTCACCTAGGGGGAGTGCTCCTGATCAAGAGAATGTTTTTTTGCTTTTGCTCCTAGAATTCAAGCAAGGACTAGACTCACTTTTCTTCCCTTTTTGCATCCCTTTGTATTGCTCGCCAACCTTCCCCGCTGAGCATCCTAACAAGCCAGTTAGAGACATACTTCTATACTTTAATTCCCTGGTGAGCCTAATGAATATTCACTGCATTGCAAAGTGGAACAGTTGGAACAGAAATAATGGGACTCCTCACCTATGTGCCTTAAAATAGCTGACCTAGTGATCAGCATATTCACCTGGATGTGGGAGATGTTAGGTCAGATTCCCTCAGGCAGCAGTAGAAGGAATTTAACGCAGACCTGCCATGTTCTAGTTGAGATAGCTAGGTCTTATGTCTATGTGAAACTGCTGATCCCTTTACTAACACCAGACATTTATGAGAACATATCATGGTTGCCTCTGTGGTGCTCAGCTGGGTTTCCTTTTAACAGAAATCAGGGTGCAAAGAGCTGGGCCTCTTATCTCATCTATGTAGGACACAGGCACTAAAGTAGGACTCAGACCCAGAAATGTGTGAGTGGTCCCTGTTTTGATGGTTTGGATGCTGGCATTAGATAACCTGGGTATGCGGGAAGATGCCTCTCTTTCCTCATGTTCTGTGGGAGGCAGAGCTTCACAAGCTCTTAAAACTGAAGAAACACCAAACTTGTAGACTGGATTATTTGTTTACTGTTGCATTTATCTCAGTTCTCATTTATCTGAGTGTACAACATGTATATATGTGGTTGGAAAAGGAGAGAAGGTAGGAGAAATTTTTACTCTCACTTTATGCAAAACCTTTTGATGTCTTGTGTGCTGCTAATTCAGAATTGTGGATCCTGCACTATGACGGGGCACCTGGAATATTTCCGTTGCACTTCCCAAATCCCTGTAGATTTGCTGTTAGTGGTTCACAAATGTTAGTGAGCTCGTCATTGAATTCCTATAGGAATGGTTTGTGTTCCTATCCCACTGTCAGAAATACCTACTGCTTTTAGACAGCCAGCTTGGAATTCATATTTCAGAGCACTTAACCTTTTTATAAAACGTAATGCAATGGGAACTGGCTCCAGCTGAAGTACTCTCTGTGCCTGCAAATCATCCCCAGATGTTTCATATTAGATACCCAAATAATAAGGAATGTATAACTTGTGGTCACATTTTGAAAACTGTGGCTTGGGCAACATTCTCGGCATCATACAGAATTTAAATAGAGAGGCAGGGACAGAATCCCAGATCTCCGTGTCCACGTTCAGAAGAAAATAGGCAGGTGTCTATTTAACATAGGACAACACCGATCTAATGCACTGAATGCGTCAGAATTCCTGTGGAAATGATTGGAATTCCTGTGGAATTGGAGTATTTGACACCATTGTCACATCTCTTTTATAAAATCAAAATATTAGAAAGTAGTGGTAATTCAAGAGTAGTCCATCTTGTTCCTTCTGAGTGCTAGGAATTCCTATGCATGACAGGAGCTGTGACGTACAATCAAATATCAGCCTATCAACTAAGCTGGTAATCTAGTTAACTTTATAGCAGTTAAGGGGATGTGAGAGATTAGCCAGGCCCTAGTCCAGTTTATGTATCCTGAACCTTAGAAACTAACGCAATGGTTGTCCAGCCTTTTGGCTTGCCTGGGTTACAATGAATGAAGAGGAATTGCCTAGGGCTGCATCGATGAAGGTTGCTCTGAAAGCAACACATCCTAATTATTTCAATGGAAAATAAAATTGATACAAAGAGCACGATGGCACCATTTGATAAAGCAAATTCTCAACTATGAAACAGTCTTCTTCAACACAGTCACCACCAGCAGCTGTGCATTTTTGCCAGTGAACAAAAGCCTTCATGCTGAGCTCATGAACAATCAATTGAGGTAGGCCACTGTTGCTGTCACCACTGTTGTAACACACCTCCCACTGCCTCACTGTAAATACATCCACTGTTTGGTCTCCAAAAATGTTCAGCAAGCGATTGTGATTGTCAGTGCATGCCATTTTTTACACATGGGGGAATTCAGTGATACACAGTTGCTTCATATGCACTTCCATCTCATACACCATTGTGTCAGACTGCCCCTCTGCTGCTGTCACATGGAAACAACGTGTAATGGGATTTAGGTGGGAAGGTTTAACCTCTGCTGCCATACCACCACCATCTGCCTCAGACACAGTGGGCCAATGTCATAAAATAGGAGGCATTATTTTCTGAGTGGCCCTCATTAAATATATGTTACAGTTAATGTGTATAAACAGCAAAGCTTATTTTAATTGTTAATGTTTTTTCTTATTGAAAAATATAAAAAAGAGAGCAACAAATCCATCAAACCAATGGGATATGTGACCCAGTTATGGTGAAACTACCACATCAGGCTGGTTCAGTGGCAGTGGTTGCCATTTTCAGTGAGCTCTCAGCATGTTCATTAGAGAGTTTTGATGAAATTTTACTCTTCCTGTGCTTCATCCTTCACAGCTGTGAATGATTGTTCACAAATGTTCATAGTGCCAAAATGTGGTGACACAAGTAAGGTGTGACTGTGAAGTGAGGGGTGTTCCTCACTGGTGAGTGAGGACTTGTTAGAGTCTGGTAAAGAGATGTGGTCAGATTTTGGATTGCAACTGTATGGATTCGATTTGAAAATTCACAAGTAATGTATTAATGTTGGCTAGAAATGGAGTCACAAATAAACCCAAAAAATCAATGATTTTTTTACAACCTTTAAATCTATTCTCAAATTACGTTATCAAAATGGAAAGTATGGCTGCATCTTTTTTGCTGTTCAAAAGACTGTGCTTAGCAAATGCATCAAAATCCATGACCTTATTTACCACCATGTGAGTTAGCACCACACTGCGCCCTGTGCCCTGGTTTCAGCTCAGATGGGGCAAAGAGAGCACCAATATTTGGTGCTGAGTGATGTTTGTATATCTCGGGCCAGGCTGCTCAGTAGGAAGAGCTGCTGCTGTGACTGTGCATGGCAGAGAGTGACTGTGGTTGAGTTGGGCTGGACTGGGCTGCATGCAGCCCATAGGCCATAGGTTGCACATGCCTGATAGAACATATGAATTTGAATTCTTTTTTCTTTACTGGGAGATGTAACTCATAGGGAATTTTAAGAGGAAAATGATGCTAAGACTCACTCTAAAGCTTAATTCAGGCTCAACAAAAAAAAAACAACAACAACAACACAAAAACAAGTAAATGCTGTGAAACAATGGAGATAGAGATGAGCTGTGACTGCAGCAACCTGCAGAACTGTTTTCATGGTAGCATGGGGCTGAACATGATGGTACCAGGGTGGCTTAACTAGGAGCAGGCTCCGAGTGTGCTTACATTGCATACTTGTGCATGGAAGCTGAAGGCACATCTTGGAAAGGACCCCTGAACATGACTCAGTGAAAGCAAATCATGAGACCTTTTGAGGCACAGAGCTGCTTGAGCAATAGGGATAAATTTTGCCTTTAATTCCTCAAGGTAATGAAAACAATCCTTCAATGGCCTTGAGCACTATATACTTATATTTTTTGAGATTTCCAATCATAGCTTATTCTTTAACGATTAACATGAAGCCTTGTGAAATCAGGAAGAATTACAGCTGGGAAATTTGAGAAAAATGAACATATGTGTCATTTATGTAAACAATGAAAAGCTCACCAGTGCAAATAATTATAAAGATAGGACTGAAAAACCTGTTCACTGTCAGATCATATGCATTGCCTTTATTTGCCATAGGACATTGCGTACAGTCTAAGAAGGGAGACGGAAGAAATTTCAGTAGGAAAATACATCCTTTAGATCCTGTACATACAACAGAGATCATCCTTGCTCTGGTAAAAGATACATGAGATGACCTAAGTTTTACCTCTCCTTTTTGAGCTCCCATGCAGTACTCATGAGAGATTTGGACCAACTGGCAGTGCTAGAGATAGGAAAGGTGTGGCAGGAGAAAGAGAATTTTTAAGGTGAATGCAAAATTACAAAGCAATAATGTGGATTAAATTCTCCCAGAGCTGAAAATAGCTCATTCTTTTCAAATGCAAATGATGCAAAGATATCTTGTACATAAAAAGGTGAGAGCGCACACTTACTAATGACACATAATATTGAACATATTTTAATTTAGGCTATCTAGAGAGTGCTAGTCGGGAAATTGATATAGGCAGTAAAAGTCATTAGAGATATTTACAGAGGTTTCAAAAATAGGCTATACCATTTTTACCAGAAGTCTGAGAAGGTGGTAGCTAGAATTAACTTCAATTTCCCTGGTTACAGAATTGGCAGAATTAAAGTTTCCCTGCAGTGTGATGAAGTTGGTGCTACAGGAAAGAAGGGGACAGATTCTTTAGCAGGGTCTGTGGTGATAAAACAAGGAGAAATGGCTTCAAGTTCAAAGAGGGTAGATTTAGGTCGGATATAACAAAAAAAATCTTTTACAGTAAGGGTGGTGAAACACTAGAACAAGTTGCCCAGTGATGTGATTGATGCTCCATCCCAGGAGACTTTCAAGATGAGGCTGGATCAGGTTCTGGGCAACTTGATCTAGCTGTGGTCTCCCTGTTCACTGCAGGAGAGTTGGACTAGATGGCCTTCAGAAGTCCCTTCCAACTCTAAGGATTCTATGATTCTATGGTGTTATCCCTCCAAAACATTATTCTTTTAACCTGCTGCTCAGGAGCCCACAGATTTCCAATGTAGCAGAAATCCAATAGCTTAGCATTGCAATTTT